CACACACACACACACACACACACACACACACACACACAATAACTGGCTTTGAGGCCACGTCGGTGAGGCCATACTGGAACTAGAAGTAACCCACTTCTCACATATAGCCCTCAAATGTACAGCAAAATGCAGTTCACGCACACAGGAAACAGCTGGTGAAGATAAGATGCTGAGAAGAGATATCAGCACTGACCTACAGTAAAAAGGAAGAACCACATGTTTATGGACCACATAAAACCCACAGGTCAGCATGGTTATCACTGTGTGTGAGGCCAGAGGAGAGATGCATTTAATCGATTGGCTAAAGACAAGGCGGCTACAGCAGACCATGCGGAACTAGGACTGAGAGTGGCATCAAGATATACGCATCATTCAGTACGAGTTCACTACTAATTCAGGCAAACCTGAAAAGTGCACTTCTAACACCATGAACAAAAATGTGCCTGAATATTGTGATGTCAAATAAAATCATGGCTCAGGTGTGATGTTGGTCTTCAAATCTTGAAGGTTCCGTGGGCCTCATGACGGGTAAAAGGAAAGAGCTCTCTCAAGACCTTCGCAACCTTATTGTTGCAAAACATACTGATGGCATTGGTTACAGAAGGATTTCTAAACTTCTGAATGTTCCAGAGAACACTGTTCCGGAAGTGGAAAGAGCATCGTTTCACCATAAACCGGCCACGACCAGGTGCTGCTCGCAAGATTTGTGACAGAGGAGTGAAAATAATTATCAGAGGAGTCGTCCAAGAGCCAAGGACCACTTGTGGAGAGCTTCAGAAAGACCTGGAATTAGCATGTACAATAGTTTCAAAGAAAGCAATAAGTAATGCACTCAACCGCCAAGACTCCATTGCTGAAGAAAAAGCATGTTGAAGCCTGTTTAAAAGTTTGCTGCACAACATTTAGACAAGCCTGGGAAATACTGGGAGAATATCTGGTGAAAAGTTCACGTCAATAGCACCTTCAGAAATATATTTACTGAGAGAAATGGTGACGTGTTCAATACTTATTTTACCCGCTGTATATGCATATCCATGTAATACTATATTCACTCTTGTTTAGACTGTTTTTATTCCCTAGAAGCTATTGAGGATCCAAATAAACAAATAGATTGATACTGCAGAGAGCCCAATACTGCAGCAAAAATAAAAAGCCACTGAATACCAAAATAATCTGGCTTCAATAGTTTCATTTGCAGAAAAAACGATTTGCCTCTGTTGTACAAGATAAAAAGGAAGAGGATCAGGTATCTCACGCTGAAACTAGGTGGCCCTATTTCACTTCACCTCATACGCCAACACAAACCACCAAACACACGTCAAGCCATAGGAACATAGACACACACACACATGTACACACAAGCCCATCCTTCTTACATGCCCAAACAGCTGCAGTTTCTCAGAATATACATTTACTGGAAGGAGCAGTGAGCTACATGAATAACTAAAGTTCTAATTCATGTTTCAGTCCTATTCTGACTAAACCCGTTCATTGCTCGATGATAGTGAATGCTTAAGTATTTATTTTTATTCCCTCTCTCCTACATCCTCTCTTATCTCCCTATTTGGCCTTTTTCCATGTTCTCATGACAGGAGAAGGTGGTTTTGTAAGCAATAAACACAACTGTGGTGGTTAAAGACTAAACTGTGTTGTAAATGGTTTGTGTTTCAGTTCAAGTCCAACCTATTGTTAAAACCATTACCCTGAAGCATACAGTTGTGTGAAAAAGTGTTTGCCCCCTTCCTGATTTTTTATTTGTTTGCATGTTTGTCACACTTAAATGTTTCAGATCATCAAGCAAATTTAAATATTAGACAAAGATAACACAAGTAAACACAAAATGCAGTTTTTAAATGACGGTTTTTATTATTAAGGGGAAAAAAAAATCCAAACCTACATGGCCCTGTGTGAAAAAGTGATTGCCCCCCCCCCCTGTTAAAACATAAATTAACTGTGGTTTATCACATCTTTGGAAAGCTGAGTTCAATTTCTCTAGCCACACCCAGGCCTGATTACTGCCACACCTGTTCTCAATAAAGAAGTCACTTAAATAGGACCTGCCTGACAAAGTCAGGTAGACCAAAAGATCCTCAAAAGCTAGACATCATGCTGCGATCCAAAGAAATTCAGGAACAAATAAGAAACAAAGTAATTGAGATCTATCAGTCTGGAAAAGGTTACAAAGCCATTTCTAAAGCTTTGGGACTCCAGCGAACCACAGTGAGAGCCATTATCCACAAATGGCGAAAACATGGAACAGTGGTGAACCTTCCCAGGAGTGGCCGGCCGACCAAAATTGCCCCAAGAGCGCAGCGACGACTCATCCAAGAGGTCACAAAAGACCCCAGAACAACATCCAAAGAACTGCAGGCCTCACTTGCCTCAATTAAGGTCAATGTTCATGACTCCACCATAAGAAAGAGACTGGGCAAAATGGCCTGCATGGCAGAGTTCCAAGCCGAAAACCACTGCTGAGCAAAAAGAACATAAAGGCTCGTCTCAGTTTTGCCAGAAAACATGTTGATGATCCCGAAGACTTTTGGGAAAATACTCTGTGGACTGACGAGACAAAAGTTGAACTTTTTGGAAGGTGTATGTCCCATTTCATCTGGCGTAAAAGTAACACGGCATTTCAGAAAAGGAACATCATACCAACAGTAAAATATGGTGGTGGTAGTGTGATGGTCTGGGGCTGTTTTGCTGCTTCAGGACCTGGAAGACTTGCTGTGGTAAATGGAACCATGAATTCTACTGTCTACCAAAAAATCCTGAAGGAGAATGTCCGGCCATCTGTTCGTGACCTCAAGCTGAAGCGCACTTGGGTTCTGCAGCAGGACAATGATCCAAAACACACCAGCAAGTCCACCTCTGAATGGCTTAAGAAAAACAAAATGAAGACTTTGTAGTGGCCTAGTCAAAGTCCCGACCTGAATCCGATTGAGATGCTGTGGCATGACCTTAAAAAGGCGGTTCATGCTCGAAAACCCTCTAATGTGGCTGAATTACAACAATTCTTCAAAGATGAGTGGGCCAAAATTCCTCTACAGCGCTGTAAAAGACTCATTGCCAGTTATCGCAAACGCTTGATTGCAGTTGTTGCTGCTAAGGGTGGCCCAACCAGTTATTAGGTTTAGGGGGCAATCACTTTTTCACACAGGGCCATGTAGGTTTGGATTTTTTTCCCCCTTAATAATAAAAACCTTCATTTAAAAACTGCATTTTGTGTTTACTTGTGTTATCTTTGTCTAATATTTAAATTAGTTTGATGATCTGAAACATTTAAGTGTGACAAACATGCAAAAAAATAAGAAATCAGGAAGGGGGCAAACACTTTTTCACACAACTGTAAATCTAAAAGCCTTAGCAACTCATTTACACAGAACAATTAGACACGTCTCTGTAATCCTTCCTAAAGCCAGCCAACAAAGACATTGATATCTGTATCACTGTATTCTGTAGTCACTGCTAAAAACACTGTGTGTGTGTGCTGTCAGACATAAACCACAGACTAGCTTTAGAGAGAGTGTGTGTGTGTGTGTGTTGCACCTGTTAGCTGACTATGTTCTGGTAAACCGCTCACACTCTGAGCCTATGCTGAGAAATTGATGGAGGTCACCAAGCATGTAAGGCAAACCTACACAAACACACCTAGCAGCACAACAAAATATAGCACCATTTGCAAAGATATTCTTATAGATGCACACAACTTAAACAGCTGCATGTGTTTTTGAAAAAAAAAAAAAACTCCACACACACACACAGATGTAACTGGTGCACTTGCAAGAAAACGTGTGTACAAAATAGAGAGAGAAAAAAAGATACTTCCAGGAAAGAGATTTGGGTTAGGTGAGCCAGCTCTGTCAGTGTTCCATCATGTGACCTAATTTCCTGCCACATCACAGACAAACAGGAAGAACCATTTGACCACCTGCACAAGAAACAGAGCCCATGCTTCATGCGTCTGTTTCATCTACAATAAATCAAACAATAACACACCAAGAGTTCCGTCTGATATGGCTGAAACAATTCATATCCACAACCCGACATGCATGTAGAAAAAAAAGAAAAAAAAAGGGACAGTACTTCTGTACATTATGTCTTAGGCATTATCGGAAATAATCAAAGAGTCTTTCGTGCTTCATTCAACCCCAGAATGGAGAAAGAGATTGATTCAAGTCATGTCAAATTCTGTGGTGCCTTTGAGGAAGGTCGGCCATCAAAGCTCCTGTTGCAAGTTGATCAATAAATAAAGTGAAGACAGGAAGTAAAACAGACAATGAGCAGGATTACCCGTCTAAAAAACACATGACAGTAAAGCCATCTCAAGTCTGTTTCTCTGGTTTATTTAATTTGTTAGAATATCCTAAACTCCAGACCATGACAATGGCCTGGACAGTATATTTACTATGAGCACTATACTTCTCTAATCTTTGGGAAACTGCTCGACTAACGTTTAAAAATGCAACATGTGACGCTTTTAAAGTCCTCAAAATGCAGAGAAAAGCACAGCTGAATGAATAGCTGGCAGCTACTAGTTTGGGTCTGGCTGCCTCCTGTTGTGGTAGACCGATGTTTTTAAGACATCACGCCTCAACTCGCATTCACTGAAAAGGTGGGCTGCTTCTTACAACAGCCACAGGTCTAGTGCGCGCACACACACACACACACACACACACACACACACACACACACACACAC